TAACAGATTGCCATATTCAATAAATTTAAGTATGGGTTCCAATGAGGCTACGTTACCACATTGAAAGTACCTTTTGAATATAACAACCTTTTAGTAGGTATCAAACATAGTTTTCATTAAGCTCACACTTCTAGTTTAGAAGTTTTTTTTCTTAGTATATTAAAAGCATAACTAACAAAATTAAAGGTTTTAAAACATCAACCTCTGTGTGAATATTCTCTATTATGAGTTTCACTTAGTAAAGAGAGACCTAATTAAATGAACCATAAAAATATTCCAGTTTATTAAATATCACTCTGTCTTTAAATGTTTTCCTTTCTAGGACAGTAAATCCTAAAATGCTAATTTTAACATTGTGATGTGACGTAAGAGTTAACATGACAAAGCAAAAAAAAAAAAAAAAAAAAAAAAGTTTTTATATTTCATTTTTTTAACCTTTAATAAGTAAACTGATTGAAAACAAATTCTCATTTACAACAACCTGTTATGTCATGATGCCCCTCCAGAAGACCCACACTATGGTAACATATTGTGGAGATACCAGCACTTTGCATTATCTACTGATTTGATTTGACTTTTGATGTGTAAAACTGTAAGACACAAACCACAGAGGTATGTTTACATATTTTATATATAATGTTGGTTTATCTCATAAAAATACCAACAAAATATACAGTATAGCAAAAATTATATGTTGCCATACAAGTTTATCTGTTTAATTAAATAGCCTGAAAAGAAAACACAAAAAAGAGGGTGTAATATTAGGAAAGTATGACCTGGTCAGTTTTGATTAGGACTTGTTTTCCCTATGATTTGACCAAGATGGCAAAACTAATAAATAATCAACAAATCAGATTAAAATAATTGCAACATATTTTCTAGTGAGTGCAAACCAGTTGTAAGAAACAATTATTGAAACTTACACAAACTGCACAATAATATCAATGGAACAAACAAAAATGTAAAACTATTTTTCTGACTTTGGTCTCACACCAATCAACCTAACTACGTAAATCCAGTCACATGAATCTGAATAAACAACAAAACCCAACGGAGCTCTGCATCCCAACATTATGTCTTTAACCATGTAACTTTCATCAAAATATGTGTACACCCGCTTAGCCGTCAGAGGTGATTTGTATTGTTTCATTTTTCCAACACAGCTGGCTGAAGCAATATCTTGCTGATATTGGTGAAACCGGCAGCATATTTCCCTTGAGTGTTCAAATGCAATTTTGCAAGCTGGATATGGCGAGGCTGTAAAAAAAAAAAAAAAAAAAAAAAAACCCTCACATTCCTTCACGACATAGGTGTGTAAACCTTTTGTAACTACAAAAAAATCAAAAACCCACAAAACAAAAATAAACGCACATTTAGTGCACATTTTCTCTAAAGCTCCATAACGTGTTAAATGATGTTGTTTTGCTTTGGTTTAAAACTGATGGAGCTCTAAGTGATGGATCTTAAATTAGATGATGTAAAATGGTTTAAGGTGATACATCAGAAAAAAACTAAAAACAACAAGCCAGAAGCAAATCTAATAAAACCTGACAAGGTTGTAACCTGACAGTATTAGCCTGTTTGCATGTCCCACATCACTCCACAAAGGCACAACACTGACTGTTTAGCCTAATGTCAGAGCATTTTCATGCCTGTAAACCTCTGCACTCACGTCTCAATTACACACGCCTTCCACAGAAACACAAAATGTCCGTACCGTTGTGTTTTATATGTGGTGTTATTAGAGTCAATGTTTTGTACTCCTTTCTTCTCACCTTTTTACAGTGTCGGATTCCTGTTTTTTATTTTGCATGTTGATTTTTATTTTATTTTCCTAATTTTCTGTTGCTTCATGTAGCTTACCTTTCCCCGCCATTATGCTGTATTGTGTCGCTTTCCTAGCATTCTTCTCCTTCTTTTACTGTTCACTGTCTATCACGTATTTGAAGAACAGTGTTTTTCTGATTCAAAGCTTTCTTTAATGGCAAGTTATTCAAGACTTTTTCAACCTAGCTAAAACATACAAACAAATTCAAACGGGGACTCAAAAATAAAATTCAAGTGTTTTCAGGTTTTATTCTCCTGTATGGAGGACTGACCTGTCTGTGGGCTGAAAATGGGGGTGATTCAAATCTAAGGAGAGCATTCTGGACACCTTGATGTTCTGGTAAATTTCTCATGAATATTAGGTAATAAAACATAACACAATAATTAATTTCTTATTGGAAAAAAAATGTTATTCTTTAATGCATTGGTTTTGATCTTGAAATTATGGTGAAAATGTTTATATTGTTTCAAGAAAGCTTTATGTTTTTCTTATTTTCTGTGTTAATATGGAAGTTTGTTGACTGCTTACTGTGTCTGTTTTGATTTGCTTTCCTGCTGTCTGCTCAATATTAACTGTTGCCACCACTTTGTTTGTACAGCTTAGTCTCTCTCCCTTTTTGTTGCTCTGTCATATCTACCTGGGCAGAACATTGAGTGCTCCCCTGTTTAAGACTCTTCAACTTTAATTGTTTATGATGAATATTTCATTGAATTTTGGTCATGGGATTGTAACCAGATCTTGTGGTGGCTGAATGAAATTATAAAATTTGGATTAGTATCATACTCAAACTTCTGTTTTGTTTTTTGGCATGATCAGACTTGCTTATGGTAATATCTGTATGTGCATTCCCACTCAGACATTTTGCACTGTACATTGTTTTGGTCATACTTCCTTAGCTTTGCTTTATTGTTAGAACTATGCTTTCATAAAATAAAACAAGATGCACAATTCTTTAAAATAGGAATTTTATTTGATTGATTTAAAGAACTTTGCTTCTTGTTTTGTGATGAGGATAAACCCTAAATTTGTTTTTCAAGCACAAATCACTTAGGATAACGCTGGTTAATCTGTCACTTTGGTGATGCTGTCAGAAACTCCTGAGTCTGGAGAATTGTGCAGCTGCTGTCACAGTTAATTTATGAGTTCATGACTGTGACTGTATGAAGATGGAGATCACAACTCTGAAAAATGATTGGCAAATATTCTTCGCTTTTAAAATTGTGAGCTGTGTCATAGTAAGTTAGTGATTTTTCACTGATTGTCCATTTCATGCTTTTGAAATCGAAAGATTAACATCAGTGATATTTGCTTCAAAAGTTGTTTTTCTTCAGTTGTTTTTTTTACCTTTTGTCAAGTGCAGAATGTACCTGTGATGCAATGGCTTTTTAGACATGCTGAGATTTTCAAACCATTTTTTCAAAGACCTATTTTCTGTACTGAGAAAACAAGATGGAAAAACTGTCTGAACAATAGAGACATAAAGGTGTGAGAGTTTTCTAAATTATCTGTTACTTTGGTAAAATATATACTTTTGCCTCAAAGAATAAATCCAGCTTGCAATATGAAATACTACATTATTTGGGGATTACAACATACATGATACTTAGAAATGGTTTTGAGAAAACTAAGAATCCCCATTTTTTGATTTACACAGACTAAATAAAGGCTTCACAAACCAAAAAAGTTCTGTATTGATGACTCTCAAGTTAATGTTCAAAAATTGAGTCTCTCGCAAAAAGAAAAAGAAAAAAATGACTATGCACTGTTTATGAAGTCATAGAGGTCTCATCGATTTCTCTTAAACCATTGTCTCATACAGTGAACACAAACTATCTGAGGGTTGGATTTGGAAAAGGGCACAAACAAGGGTGGCTATTTGCAACTCCTATTGATCTTTTTTGTGCTTTGAAAATAAGCACTGCCTAATAGCAGCAAGAATGTTAACTTCAACAAAGGCAGAGAAAAAGAAGAATTTTAAACACCAGCGCTTGTTTTGCAATAAATATGGATATCTTTTCCCATTTGTATGCTTGTTGTAGATGAAAGCCCTGTAGGAGGTTACTGAAACACTGTGGTAAAAGAAGTTGTGATTTTAACATGAATATTACACTGTTAGAACTTGGATCAAACATCAAATGTATCACAAATTGTCCACTAATTTACAGAGCAAACTTCACACATTTAAAAAAAAGAACTCATCATTTCAGTGTAATCAATTATTTCTATTTTGAGCGTCTTAAGTTTTAACCTTAAATCTCTAATTATTATCCAGAATATCAAGTTATTGAGGTATAAATTATAAGTTAGATTTATGAAATGTCACATTTAGGTAAGCTGTATAGGAGTGGGGCCCACCTCACAAGAGAAGATACCACGTGATTTCCGGGTTACAACATAAAGGATACTGCAAAAAGATTTTATAATTTTCTACAATAAGACAATATTTAACCTTAGTTCAAGAAAAACTTTTTTTTTGGTCAATACAAACTGGCTAAAGGTTTCATAATTGAAAATGTACTAAATTGAAGACTGACATTAAGATGCAAGACCTGACTACATATGACAATATATATATATATATATATTTATATATATGTATATATATATATATATATATATATATATATATATATATATATATATATATATATATATATATATATATATATATATATATATATATATATTTTTTTTTTCACAAATCTTTTGCAGTTCAGACATCAGACAGTTACCGTGGTTGGGTACTCTCGATGAGTTACAGTATGTACTTCAGATAATAACTGCAGAGAGCCACGGCCTTCAGTGTTAAAACTAAACTGTTTAAAAAAACATAAGAGACTTTGCTTATATTGCAATAGCTTTTTTGAGATTGGAGTCAAGAATTAATTCAGATTGAACTTAATTTCTAATTAAAATGACTTGAACACGTCAAATGTTTGAACAAGTCAATCACTTTCATAACTGACTTCTGCATCTGTTCTGCACTCTATGAAGCCCTTTTAATGGATCTTTCTAAGTGTGGAATCAACTTTCAAATACAAGTAAAACTTTACTATTTAAAGACACAACCAACTAGGGGCCTGTATTTAATTAAGACTGCACCTGCTCTAATTTAGTTTTCTCAAGCCCTGAGCTGGCTTTGCGTGTTGGCCATCCTGTCACTGTGCTTTACCTGGATCCATGGCCATCTGTCATTCTCGGCAGCCGTCCAGGCGTTGACCAGGCCCTTCTTGTTGAGGCGTGCAAAGTATGGGTACCACTTCTGCAAGCCAAAGAGAGCACGGTGGGTGGAGGAGGCTGTTATCTGTTGGTTGGAGATTATACCGCCCTCCATGCCCAGTGGTCCAGAACATTCTGGGAAAAGAAAGGAGGAAAGACAGATGAAGCTTTCAAATCTTGCAAATAGTGCAAGCAAACTACATTTGATTTTCCAAATACACCACAAGAGTGCAGCTGTAAAATTACTGAGTTTCTCTGCCATATGATGTTTTATTCCACTCTTTTATTCCCAAGAAAAACTGCAAACTGCTATTTTTCTGCTATTTTCTGTGCAACCCACAATTAAAAACTCGTTTCTCTAATCTTTGTCCCTATGTCTCAATAACTTGGATAATCGTGAAAAAGGTCATTTCTTTCAGCATCTCACTTCGAAAATTGATGCTCAAGTATGAAATAGAATCATTACATTCAGAGGGATACATTTCTAGTGTTTATTATGGCTATTTAATTAATATGGCTTACAGCTAAGGAAAACTCCCATTTTCTTTTTCAGAAAATTTGAATTAATGGTGGAAAAAAAATCACATCATAATTTTCTGCAGTAAAGTCACAATCACAATTTTATCAAGGTTTTCCTACATAAAATCATAGCTCTTAAGGACAAAAAGAAACACCATCTCTCAGTGCAAGGAGAATTTATAATCATATTCCTTTCTGCTACATATGTCAAGCAGAACATTAAAAAAATGTCGCTTTCAAAACAAATAGTAGCTGCAAAACAGAGTTAGCATCTATATGACGGGTTTTTGCCTTTGACATTCACAAGGCAAGCTTTGTTTATCTGTGACAATAAATGTAGGTTTACCTCAAAACAAGAAACTTCCCAATGTTTTAAATACAGCAAAGTCCTGAAAAGCTCAAACTGGAAACAATGAAAGTTGTACGTTCACATTTTACAAAACTATTTGAAAGATTTTTCATATTGTTTTTCTATCGAGAACAAAGTCCTTATTATTTTTCTCCACATAAAATGTGGCTAAGGCTGCCCAACTCTTTTCTTTTTATTTGTACAATGTTAAGCTTCTTACCATTCACAGCAATCAAGTGAGAAAGAAAAGAGACACGAATCTTTAAGTAAGAGAACATCCGGTTGTGTTTTCAGCCTAAATCCTGGCTGTCCGAGCATGCTATGTATTTCATTAAATATGCCTGCAGTAAAATAAAAAAGGCAACTTGGTAATTTCAAGACACTTAGGTATGAGACAGAGTCAGGGAGGCACATCTTTTACACAATTAATAAGAAGATTTAACAAATTATTCACTTGGAAAACAGGTTTTCTTTGCTTTTGCTTCCTTCATGAACATAGAAGATTTTCTAAATTTATACAAGCTAAACCGTTTTTTTTCCTCCAAAATGAACCATTTTCAATCCATACAGTTTAATCTTGAAAGTTACAAAATAACTTTAAAGACACCAATAAGACATCATCCTAAAAGAGCTCTTAACATTGAAACACTTCAGCTTTGGCATGAGTGTTGGTTCAATTTGGCTCATTGGCTTAAAAGTATAAGGCGTCACTATAGTTAAGAATCTGCCAACCTGAAATAACAGCTCTAATAAAATTGTTCCCTTCAGTGCCTCATCATAAAAAGCTTTATTTAAGATATTTTACTTTTTCACCCATAATTGGTAATAAACTGCATTCACATTCAACACATTTTAATTCAGTCTTTAAGCTAAGGAAAAGCCTGGTATCTTTTTGCTTCCTCAAGCTGACAAAATAGCTCCCGCCATAAACAGCATCCCAGCTTTACTGCGGGCTTAGGCATATTATTTGTGACAGATGCTTAAGTTTTAATTAGACCATAAGTCATGTAAATAGTTGCCTTAAGTGCAAAGGATTATAGCTCGGAATAGATTTTTTGTTTAGAAGTAAAATCATTATATGCTGTATTCTTAGCAATAATGTCAGTTCTCTCCTGAAATGTTTAAGGTAAATCAAGTGTGAAAGACATCACAACAAATAAATGCTACTGGTGCTTTCCATTAGCTCATATACTTTGACTATCGTTGGTGGAATAATTCAGTTCATTCAGTCTGAAGAAGGATACAGGTAGTTATTGTTTTTTTCCTAGATCTTGTTCAGTGGCAATACTCACTGTTTCAGTATATGCAACATTTAGTTCTCACTGACCGCTACAAGTCATGGAAAGGAAACTGAAAATAAACCTAAAAAACAAATTTAATTCAGTTCAATTCATACAGCTGAACTTTGTTCAAGAATGAATGCCTGCATATCAATACATTGCAATATAAATTAATAATTTATATTTCAATATTGGAAGACTTGTGATTGAGTTACAGCTGATGAAAACCCAAAGTTCACTAATAACAGTCTTCCTAGAAAATTGATTATATCTTCAAGAAGGCTGAGGAAGCGTTGGGGGCTAAATGGGATTTCTAGATGACTGTTCTGACTTGGGACTTAAGTAAACAGGCTGGGCCATGAGATGGCATGGCTCCCCAAACCATTGCTGACTTTGGAAATCTGAATAATGGGCCTCAAGCAATCATTAATAAGTCATAAGAACATCGATTTTTGGTGATAGATGTTTTTGTGAAGTGTGCTGTCTCTAAATATAGCATATTTAACTTATTTGACTACTGTCTGCTAGTGTATTTCTGGCTACCAATACTTAAACAAATCTGCTCTAAGCTACAAAAGAAGGAGAAGACGTAATTAACTTCAACGTTTCCCAAAAGAATGTAGGTATGTCATAGTCAGACTTTAGTCAGAGCCCAGGTGGAATAAACAGACTGAAGTGAAAACTGCAAATGAACTGTGTCCATGCAAAGCAGCCTTAAGGGGATGCCTGAAGCGATGGCCACTGGAAAGCTATGATGGACCCTTCACTATTAAAACAAAACTCCTACGGAATTTCAAACTCTGTGCTCACACACAGAGGGAACAAACTCACACCAGCAGACAATGAAACTGGCAGCACAGAGAGCTGTAAGGCAGCTTTAACCATGCAGGAAAGTCAAGAGTGAGGGAAGAATGGAACAATGAAAACAACTTATCCAGCTGCTAAAACTGTAGGGTCTTAGTCAACAGGAAGTCTTGGGAGACACTGAGTAATGTCTGAAGAGAGTCAAGGGACTATTCACTATAGACTGTAGGAGAGGTAAGAGAATATCCAATTGTATATAGTGTGTGGCCCTGTATTTGATACTCTGTAAGACCATTTTTTCCCCAACAAATACTGCTGCTTCTGGGGCCCAAAGCTAAGGCCCCAAAAGAAGTACTGTGTTTGGGTTATGTGTGAGGTTCATGACTAAAGTATGAACTGAGTTTACGTTAGGTTTAGAGATTTATATGTACTGATAATGGTTTGGTTTAGGGTAACAGCCAGGGTTAGACTGTAAAAATAAACGAAAGTCAATGAAAAGTCCCTGCAAAGATAGGGAAACATAAAAAGAGTATGCATGTGTATGCGTGTGTGTGTGTGTGTGTGTACACTGAGTTGAGAGATGTGTTCATGCATTCCAGCATGGCAAATCAATCTTGCTTCAGTGGTTCATTCTATGTGACTCACTGCTTCCAGACTGGTGTAGGTGGATACACAGGCTTCCTGCTGGAGCTCTGAGATCCAGCTGATTTTTCAATATCAGATAGATCAACTTAATTTGAACCTCTTCAAAAGTCTGAATATAGGCAGCTTTTATTTTTGTACGTGCTATCTCTATTGCAATTAAAGGCTTGAAAATATGAATATCTTTGTAGGATGTTTCGAAGCTCTTTTGTCATAAATAAGCCTGCACATACTAATGATATGTTAGTGTGAATTCCCACAAATTCTGACTCATGATTCATTACATTTCCTCAATTAACTGTCTTTATGCTAAAGAGCTAAAATAAAGCACAAATTAGTTTACATTTATTTTTTCCCCCAATAAATATATATCTACCATTTTTCAACTGTAATGAGCAAGCTGGCTGTCACTTAGGAAGCCTAATGGTGTGTTTGAAGACTGAAGTATTAATTCAAGCAGTGCATATATTTATTTGAGCATGAAATTATTTCACAGAAAATTGCATTTGTAAAAACAATATATATCAACACGTTTCCAGAGCTACATAAGTGGCTTTGAACTGCAAGTCCACAAAGGTTCAAGACTGCTAGTAATTAGGAAAAGTGTACTGGAAAACTGAGAAACATAATTCTCTCCCATGACAATAAGAATGCATTATTTAAATACCTTATGCATAACTTTGGAGCATGAGAAACACATCCTAATGTCACAATCTCAAATGTGAATGTTTACTCTATCAAAAGGGCCAATAACAAATAGTAGAGGACTTCAATTGTGCCACCACTTGTAAGTAATTTGGATGTTTATCTAGCGGTGCTCTGTGCCACAAAGAGGACTGGATTTACAAGCATCCTTTGGCCAACATTTTTAAATCAGGGAACCTGTCTTGCATTCAAATGATCTTCAAATTTGCAAGATTCTGGATTTCCTGATCTGGCAATCCCTTGCTTCAGTGGGAGAAAGCCACACCAGCCACAGCAGTGGTTCAGCTGCACCAGACCACAGTCCAACTCAGGAATGATACTCGCATAAGAATTTTATTATTATTATTATTATTATTATTATTATTATTGATTTAGTCAAAGGGTAATGCTGAGATAATATTTGCTTCATATTCACATGCTGATGGTGGCAAGCTCCTGGATTGCAGCCACAGCTAACCTGGGGCGGTCTGAAAGAAGCAAGGTTGCCATGAACTGGCATGTCTGACCACCACCAGCAGGCAACACTGGTGAAGTGTCTTGGTCAAGGACACAACAACTAAGATATATGAAGCAGGGAACCCACCAATTATAGGATGAAGTGCTACCATCATTGCACATTTTTGAAAATATGATGATCTCTGCTCGTTTTTCTCAATACAAATACAAACAGAACCGATGTAAAATAGAGATGGGGCGACCGCAACCACGCCCTGTAGGGCAAAAAGGCCTTTAGTGAGCTGCCTAACAAATTTTTCTTCCAATTTAATATCCTTGAAACCGTTCAAATTTTTCCACAGTTACCAATTCAATAGAAAGATAACCCAGAATTATTTGAACTAGTTATAATTTATCTTTCAAAAAGTGCCTGAAAATTATTTGCAAGCAAATTATAACGGACGATTCTCAAACATATTTTTATGAAAGTTAAGTTAGTCCAAGTTGCAAAACTGAAAAAAAAACTCCTTCATGTTTCAATACACTTTTTAAGCATTACACGGTCCATTAGAGTTTTGTGATTGAGTTCTAACTCATACACCATGATGACATTCAGGATGCTTTTATTTATTTAATTTTCTAGCAGTGATTTGATAGATTCGATTTGGAGGAATCATATTACATATGTGATACACATGTTACTTGATCCTTTCATACATGTAGTGCTATTTTATTTTGGTCCATCACAAAAAATTCTAAACAAATATGTTTGTGGCCCTATGTGATAAAATGTGAAGAATAGTTTAGAGACATGAAGGCTTTTTAACTGTAATGCATAGTGAAACAAGTCGAAGTAGGTATTCCCCATTTGATTGGTTTTAAGTGTGTGCCTCCAATAGGCTTGCTCCCATTGGCTGTGGTAGTTCTTAATGTGCTAACTCTGAAATTCTGCAAGTGAAAAACAAGGGTCTTTTTTTTTTCTGCACAGGCTGACATATTGGACTTATGTTATGCTGTGTCACCATAATATAATATTTGCCTAGATACTTTACCTCTTTGGTAGCACTCTCATGAGATATAATATGTGGATGTTGTGACAAGACACCACTGCAAAGCGACATTCCTTTTCACCTTGTGGCAATGATGGGCCAGTCTTAACGAGCTGCCTGCCAGTCGTTCGTCAGAGCAGCAGAGGCAGCCAGCCCCCGGGCCTTGCCCTGCTGCCCTCTGAGCATATATCAGCCTCACGGTAGCTCACGTCGCTAGCACCAACACTGGCGCGCAGTGACAGCTGAATCCATCTCCCACAAGCTCTGCCTAGACCCTAGCAAATTACTACCCAACTGAAATTAATGCCAACATAATAATACGAATGAGCATGCAGTAAGAGTTAATAAGGGAAAGAATGATAAACAGATGAAACAGATGTCAGCCATATTGTGAGGCTTCAACAGGTGACAAATGAGGTTGGGAAAAAGGAAAGAAAAATATGTGCTGTTAAGGTTTCAAATCTGATAGGCAATTGACAGTTACTTTTTTTTTTAACAAAATAGCAAAAAAGGAGGAAAAAAAGTTACATTCCCTAAGATTATTAGTCAAAGATACCCTAGCAAAGGATAGGATATCTTCCTATATATTAATATTCTTCAATCAGATGCTATTTCTGCAAAATTATATTGAAAAACAGTTTTCCTTACATGCTCGATTGAGTCATTACATTCAGGACAATGTAGGACAGTTTGTAAGCGATTATTTCAGTAAGATTATACGATGATTATACTTTGTTTCTTGCATATCTAACAGTGGTTTGTCGAGGCAGCTAAAAGACCTGATGCTACTTTTTACTTTTCATTTTTATTAGCTCAGAGAGCTTTACTAAAACACAGATCTCTGTCACAATATGACAAGCAACAGTGACAACTTCACCAACAAAGAAGTATAGAGTGTAAAAATGCATTATTTGCACAAACCGTTGCCCACACACAGTGTGGGCCTATGGAACAAATCAGAGAAGAAGACATGTGTTTGTATCAGATGCATATATCAGATATTCAATCAGTTAAACAGTCTTCATCTTCTCCAGAAAGAATAAACCAAACTAACAGCCCTCACAAGAAGATCCTGTTCTTTTAAAGGCAGTACATTTTGATGACATTTTGTTTTTCTTGGATGCGAAAAGGGAACATCCTAAGGTTGGAACACAACCAATCCTTGGCTCTCACATGTCTGGGAAACATGATTTATCAGTTATATCAGCCGCATTTTTCTGGATTTGCAGAAAGAAAAACTGTTTTGTTACACAGCCACACCTGATCTCCTCCACCGACATACATTTTCCTCACAAGTCTAATTTTATCTGACACCTCAACATTCATATGCCTGAGAGTGAATCTCAAAAGGTCAGTGTTATAAATCTTTATCATATCAAAGCACGGTAGACGCTTTCTAAATCTATTCATCTAGGATTTGATTTACACACAGACTATTTGATATTTTATTATATTTTCACTAAATGCACAATTTGATTAGAGAAAATTTACAAAATTAAGTTTTTTTACACCTTAGTGCAATTTTACTTTAGTACTTTTTAAATAAAAATAAGTAAAATAATAAATTAGAAAAAGAAGACAAAGAATTGTTGGTGGGAAATAACAAATAAATAAAAATAATCAAAAAAATATGAACACCAGAAAAAGCAAAAGCTGCTCAGACTGGTCAATGTATAAATAGATACTAAACAGCCATTTGACTCCACTCACTTAAACATATTAAGCACTAAAGCATTGTGAAACACGACAACCCCTCACAATCATGTCCACCTCAAGTTTAATGATGATAAATAATCACATATTACTTCCCATCTTGGGGTAGGAAGAAAAAGAGGCAAATAAATCACCAACTTTTGATCTGATATTCTGACCAACAAGAATATTTCACATGTTAAATTTATATGGCTGGTAATCTTGTTTCCTATTTCAATCTATAAGGACTTTCACTTGGCATAGTACTCTGCAGCTGTAGCCCATTTGCTTCAAGATTTGGCATGTTATACATTCAGATATGCTTGGTTGCAACAAGTGGTTATTAAAGCTACTGTTGCCACCTTATCATCTCAAGGCAATCTGGCTGTTTTCATTTGACTGCTGGCATCAAGAAGGCATTTTAATACACACAACTGCTGCACACTGGATATTTTTTTCATTTTGTACCATTCAGAAGTAGATCTGCAATTTTCAGATTACTCAGACCAGGCCATCTGGCAACAGCAATTAAGAGAAAGTAATTTAAGTCCCTATTCAGCTGCTCAGTTTGAACCTCAGTAAGTCGTCTTCACATCTAAATGGCTAAATGTATTTTATTTTTCACATGTGATTAGTTAATTTTCTATTTGTGTTGTGTAAATAAAGATGAGTACCTAATAAAGTGGCCAGCGAACTCTATCCAATGCTTGTTTTAATAACCTTCTTTCTAATGAATAAACACATTTTTGTGAAGTGGTTATCCAGTAAATGGACATGGCTGTAATAAATCATGAAACAAAACTGATGTTATTTCCTCTCTGTGGATAGAGTCCCTAAGTGGTTTTTCAAAAATATTTCAGCTTAAAGCATTCAGCTCCACAATGAATAACCTTACCAAAAAAGAAGCGCAAGTACAACATTCAAGTCGTTTTGTCTGCTTGGATGAGGTTGGTCATGTGGTATTTGTTTGGCTACATGATGGTGCTGCAGCACATGATTGTGGGAAAAGACAAAACTGTGTGGGAAAGAAAATCAAATATATATTTTTTAACACATTCCCTGAGTTCTCAAAGATTTGATTTGGTTTACTTGGAGAAGCAGAATTTGGACATGTATATATTTCATACACAAACCAAATGGTTAGCTTTAAATTACACAGCATATTTTTGCTAACCACATTTTAAGATGGATTCATGAGACCTTATCTTCAGAAAAAATGACATTTTGCAGGATGTCAGGATTAAAATTTTCAGTGTACATCCAAAACTGCTATTGAGTTCATATAATGGAATTTCTTTGACATGTGTTAGGTGCAAGAGGAAATCAAACATCACAAGCTCCACATCCATATTTTTGCAGCTGAAAAGTAATCTGCGTGAGAGCCGATGTGGTTGCTGTGTTCAGCACTTGTGTTGTTGCTAGATAGAGACACACAAATCCTCTACATAAAAGAGATGGATAAAATGAGAAGAGAAACCTGTACAAAAATAAATGGGGAAGAAAAGTGAAGATTAACACAGTTAATTATTTTTCCTGTCTCACAGCCTATGCCTTTAATAGGAAGGTAAGCAGAAATGTATGAACTTGGTTTCATTAAATAATGGGCATCTGGTAGAAGCACTATCAATTGATGTGCAAAATAGATGGCTTTATTAAAGACAGAAAACTGATTTCATTAACAAACTTAAAATTCCAAAGACGTGAAAATAAAACATCACTTACTGTATTGACAATTCCTTCCCATGTACTCCCCTGGGCATTCACAAGAGTAGTTAGCAACCTGATCAGTGCAAATTCCCCCATTCTTACAAGGATCCTTTTCACATTCATTGATATCTAGAGGAGAGGAAAGACAAGAAACACAAAAGCATATTCCTTTAGTTTACTAGCACAGACAATCAGACATAATAGGCTTCATGCAGATTAAAATAAAATGCATAGAACCATCTGACTTTTGTTAGTGTTGCTTGATTTGTGGAGACCTTCATACAAATAAATCACCAAATGACACCTTGATTGAATTTTAATGCAACATGTTTAATCCAAGTTTTAATCTGCATCTGTTCACCCTGTGTACTACTTCAAAAGAATATCTCAGGGATTTGTCACTTCAATTTCTGTCCTGCCTATTTTTCTCAGTTCAGCTGATACAAACTTAAATTGACAAGCTGCCCTGGCAGATGCCCGTTATTTTACACAATCATCTGGGAGTTTTGTTTTGTCTGGTGATATTCAAACCAAGAACCGTGACAACAACAGCAGGGTTGGCAGAGCCCAATTTATACCTACTGTTGAGCATCTTGTGTAAAAATAAAAAGAAAAAAAGAAAAACTGTGATAGAAAAACATATCAATCATATCAGTTCATTCACCTATCAAAGTAGAAAAAATGTCATCTAAGACATTTACAGTTGAAACTAGAAGTTTACGTATGCTGAACAAACATAAAAAAAAATTTTCTCACTGTTTCAAGGTAAATCGGATCAAACAATTTAGTCAAGGTCAAAATCAAATGACCTTGGCTTAGGTCATTGAGATTTACCAAAATTATTTCTATTTGCAGAATACCACAATATATAGAAAATAATATTTAACAGATATATTTATTAATGTTTTCAAGATCACAAGTTTATAGTTTGACAGTTTGCTTGAAATTTGGAGCATTCCTTCTGTCAGAATTAGAGTAGCTGAGTCAGTTTCTCTCACTTACACATTTCAGATCTGCCCACAAATTTTCAGTAGGATCAACTTTGTGATGCTCATGCTAAAAAAAATGACTTTGCTGTCTTTAAGCCACTTTGTTTTCACTTTGGCTGTATAAATATGTTTACTGTCCATTTGAGAGACCAATTTTATACTGAGCTTTAACTTCCCAGCTGATATGTTTAGACATCTATATTTCCCCTTAATGTTCTTCCTTCATGATGTCGTCTAATTTTATTAAATAAACCAGTTCCTTCTTTCAGAACAGCCCTAATTCTTGTTACCAGGTTTACAAACACACAACCTTGACTCTGGCAGCATCACACACAATAACCTAGCAGTCAACAAAGCAATTTCTTTAGGTACAATTTTTAAATCTTGAGAGCAACAATTATGATACATATCGTTAAAGATTTAAAGATGTTGTTTTTTTTAATGAGTTTGGTTAAGGAATAAAAAGCTGTTGAGAACCACTTGGGGTGGTTTATATAAACAATATCTAAAGAACATCCTGGAAGTTGCCATATATTATTCATAAATGTTTTGCATTTGAAGTTAATGTTGTCGATGCAATGTATAAACATAGGTTTTTTTGTGAGGACAAAAAAATAATCTGTTCCATACTTTATTTAAAAAAAAAACAAACAAAAAAAAACACTGTGTTTGTGCTCTTTTCCTATGCAGAAAGAAATAGTCCTATCCAAATACCAAGACTGAAATGAAAAAGGGAATTTAGCATCTTTGACAGTTGTTCTTCGTCAAGCTAACTAATTTCATTTAATTCAAGTATCACAGAGATGTATGAGAGCAGAACAGAGTGCCAGTGGTCAACTGTCCTCAATAACAGCCATGTGAAATAACTCTCATTCAAAGGTGACAGAACTTGAACCCAACTCCATCACACATATTTTCACTGCGTTGTTATAAGCATGGATAAGAGCATGAAATGACAGCAGTGATTTAAATGGGGAGGGATGGAATGAAGTGAACTTTCAGTCACTTCTGAATAAATTTGTAATGATTTCCAAATTTGCCTGTGGCTGCAAAAGACTTAATCCTCTAAAACATACCTTGAGCAGTGTGGGACTCAAAGGTGCAGTTTGGATTCATGAATATGTAACTAGGTCATAGATTTAGAAAGCTTAAGGAACTGAAAAATGATCTCATCTCTCTGAGATCCTAAATCAGTCGGGCACTTTTGTAGTGTTCTTTATTTATTTTATTTTTTCAGAAATGTCTTACAGTCTTATCTTTGAACATAACCATCTGTGACCAGAGAAACTGATGTGTTCAATTTGTAACCCAAGACAACACTAAAAAAAGTTAATTGCTGAAGAAGTAGTTTTTAAAATAATGACATATATATTAGAACAAATATTCCTTCTTACTAGATAGAGTAGAATCATGTCAAAGTCAAGAGTTTTAAGTGCATCCATCTGTCTGCTGCTTTAGAGAATAAACAATATGACAGATTTTTAAAGATAGCGGTCCAAAGTCACATAGATACAAGAGACTGAAATGGTGTTGAAGGTATTTAAGCATTTTCTGTAATTATACTTAATTTTTAAAGTTTTTATAAAATGAGACGAAAAAGCTCAAGATATTTCATCCCTAGATTGTAGTTATATTTATAGGATTTACTTCAGTCTCAGTTGTTTTCATTTTGTCTTGACAAATTGTTTGTCTTCCTTTTTGATGTTTTTCACCATTTCCGAAAACATTTTCAAACCTCCAACCTATATAAAGAAAGTTCGAATTTCCACACTTTTATATATGGCAACATTTTTATTATCAATTGGGTAATAAAAGGAAACTGCATTTTACCCAGAAAAGGGCATTTTTCTTAGGTTTTGTCATACTGGACATGCCGGATGTCAGAAGCTAATTTTCTTATCTTTAAACTGTGTTATTTGATGCACTCATCCAGAACCACAGCGCTGCTGCACCAGATAAAACATGAACAATCTTGCAAAATAGAAGCTCCAGACAGAAAAGCAGGCCTCCTATACAATAAAATCCAAAACGCATGTTTGCACTTGCAGCCTGATTTGAGAACTTTATAGTATGTGTAACAATGTCTACTTCAGAGCAGTGAAATAAATTGAGTTCAATTTCAGTAAAATATATTCAGCAATAATCATTTGGTCATATTTTTCTAGTTGTGTTCTACAAATCCACTTTTCAAACTAATGACCAAAATATTTAATATAAGAAAAAAAAAAACACACACACCTGGTCCAAAGTCTTGATGTATTTTAGGAATCAAGTCAAAAGCAATGCTTTATTTACATTGGCTCACACACAATCCAAGCCATCGATTCATCCATCCATTATCTGAGCATCTCATCTCTCTACATTCAGCAGTCACGCAAATCAATTTCTTTGAAATTTTGCTTGTACTTAAGTGCAATGCAAAGAAGATTTTTTTAACAGAAATGTAAGCTATGGCCAGCATAAGGAAAAATGTTGACTTGATGTCCATCAAAACACTCAGTGAAACAGTGGACAAGAAGAGCAAGCTAAGATGCAGCTAAACCACATTAGTGCAGACAAGTTTTTGATTAATGCGCTTTTCTTATGTGTTCTGTGAAGCACTTTGTGATTTTATCAGTGAAAGTCACCATACGAAGAAAATTTTACTTGCTTACTTTTGTGTGTTATGCAACATGGAAATGTTATAAGTTTGAGTTTTTTATCACCTTTCCTAAGTTATAATCATGATGATAGCAGAGACAAACATCACATTTTCACTCTGATTGTAAAATAAGTCAACATTTTCTCAAAGCATCACATACAGCTATGAAGAAAAGTAAATTAAAATCTTTTTATCTGAGAGTCTGGATTTAGAGTTACATTTGTTTCATAATCTGAATCCTGCACAGTTTAAGATGGTCTGATTTCAGACCATCATGGGTTCATTTTCATTTCATTCTTTATTGCTGCGGTGACATTTGGTACACGTGTACTACAAGGGTTTGTTCATCTTAACATCACCTCTAGCTGTAATTATATAATTTGTTATTTATTTAACTATTCTGTAGAGCGGGGTCGCTTATGTCCATTCCTCCAGAGCTACCGTCCAACAACTTTCAGCTGGATCCCTGCTCCAACACACCTGAATCAAATGAATGGCTCGTAACCAGGCAGGTTCAGAGCTGAATGACTGCTTGTGGTAAATTCAACCATTTGATCCCAGCCTGTTGGAGTAAATGTTGAAGGACTGTAGCTCTCGAGGTCTGGACTTGAGCACACCTGCTGTAGACAAATGTGGTTAAAACATTTTGTTTTCAATATTATTATTGCTTCCATCGATTTTTCTGACATTAGATTAAACAACAAACCATTTATATGGAGAAATTAGAAGGAAGCTAATCCAGAGGGATGCAGTCTGACAGACATGAAGGTTTGCAATAATTTTCAACTGTGAAAAATAACTCCAGGACATTCAGAAAAAACATTAGATAAATTTTTCTGAAGCTTTTCATTTATTTTACTGCCAGACCTAAAATAGCCCTTATTTAAGCAGTTATGGTGAAAATAATAAAAATTAAAACAGTTATTAAGTAGAACTCTTGTGAGCATGCCTTTCTGACACAACCCCACAATAAATTGCACAGAGATATTTGCTTTCTTCTAATTACCAGGTGGAGCAATAAAAACAAAATGTGATTTTATGGCCATTTAATAGAACACTGAGGAAAACATATTCTTGGTGCTGAGTGCCTGCAGAGCCATTTCACACTGAGGAGTTTAAGGTTTACGATAAACAAATTTAGTAAAACGCTCCCTAGGCAGATCAAGAATTCCTCAGTGCAAGTTGGAGAAAGTCAAAAAAATGCAATCACTTTAAAGGCCGCTGATAAAACAGCACAAGCCACTTCTATTTCATTTTAGCAATAATACCACTTTCTTATATGATGTGCTTGTCAAATTTCAGTTCATATTCTTCTTTGCTCAGACCACCAGGATCAAATGTGGATGAAAGCCAGATGAAGAGGCCACTCTAACAACCTGAAGCACCACAACCCATTGAAGGAGAGACAAGCTAGCTCATCTTGTTGCACTTTCGTGAGAAACCATCAGCCCCAGGAGATCAGTATGGGGAAGGTGAGACTTGCCACTAAATCAAGTGAA